TGGCCAATCTCCATACCCTTATATTGGTTCTTTTAAAGTGGTTGATACAGATGACATGGAGGGAACAGAAAAGACCGATGGCATTACAGTGGTTTCTGCCCCTTTAGGCTTTTTTCCAGAGGGGCTTTTTATTGCGCATGATAATAGATCCCGAAAGGGAGGAGGGTCGAACTTCAAGTTCGTCGATTGGAGAGATATTCAAAAGTCCTTAGAATTAAAAGTAGCAATGCGTTAAATAAGGCGCTTAGATCCAATAAAAAATTGAATATATTTGGATTTTTGGGTTTGCCTTTTAGCTTAAATATGAATATGAACCCTTATAATGCTGTTCATAAATCATGCTCTTATTTCTTAGAGGGTTTTTATGAGCGCGGTCGCGTAAAGACAAACTCTGTGTCGTTAGAAATCTTTGGCTGAAAATGTACCCCTCAGATTGAAATTCTTTTAAGTCATTAGGGGTCTCAAGGCGATTTTGGAGCATAAAGCGAGCCATCATGCCACGCGCCTTTTTTGCAAACAGGCCAATTGTTTTCAATGTGCCATTTTGTTCTTCTTTAAAATGGCATGTGACATGTGGAAGTCCTTTTTTTGAAGAAACGTTTAGCACTTTGAGGTATTCATTTGAGGCCAAAAAAACAAGCGTTGGGTTTCTGTGTTCTTTTGCTTTTTTAACGCAAAAATCTAGCAGAGAACTCCCCCAAAAGTCATAGAGGTTTTTGCCTCGATGAGTTGAAAGTTTTGTCCCCATTTCTAGGCGATGAGGTTGGATCAAATCCAAAGGGCGCAATAGGCCATAAAGCCCTGATAAAATAAGGAGATGTTCTTGAGCATAGTTTAAATCTTGTTTATCAAATGTGTCGGCTTTAAGTCCCTGGTAAGTGTCCCCGGCAAACGCCAAAATTACTTGCTGTGCATTCTTTTCTGTGGAGTTTTTTGAGAAAGCTTGAAAGCGTTCTACATTAAGCTTTGCTAGTTTGTCAGAAAGCCCCATAAGGTCCTGGAGCTTTTCTTTGGAAAATTCCTGTAAGATTGTGATGAGCTCTAACGTATTTGTTTTAAACAGTGGTTGCGTGTGTGTGTGTTTAGGAGCAGACGAAGGGAAGAGTAGTTTTTTTGCAGGTGAGATGAGCGCAAGCATTCACAGACTTTCAATGTGTATCAGGACAGTTTTAAATTTTGCCTGAAGTATAGAAGTGTTGCCTTGAAAATGAAAATTATAATTGTGTTTAAAGATTGGAGGCAGTTTGTCGTATGAAAAGTTTTTTACGTAAACACGCCTGATCTTCAATGTGATGGTATATTTGGCAAGAGAACTCAGCAAGGTAAGAATCCTGCCTTGTTGACAATTGTTTTTGGCTTTTTTATTGCGCTTTATAATGGTGGTGTTGATTTCAATAAATTTGTTTAATATTGTCAAAGCATTGTCAGGTTTTAGTTATGGCTCTTGGAGGAATGATAATGAAAAAAATATTTTTAAAAGCTTTATGCATATTGGCTTTCGTCTCTACTGCTTCGTTTGCATCGACTTTAATGGAACAGCTCGATGAGATTTTTGATGAAATAGGTGGGAGTCGGGGGGTTAACCTTGTTTCAGCGACCTTTGAAAAGTCGGCTAGCTTTTCAGATGAAGGGCAGTTTATGCCTTATGTGAAGCAGAGCCTTTCCTATACAATGGACCATCTTTCCCAGGAAGATATCTCATTTGAGAGAAGGCAAGAAATTGCGACTGGCTTGGGAAATTACGCCAAAGAATCTTTGAGCCTTGCTTAAGTAGCGATGCTGACCCATTAAATGTGGCCTTTTATAAAGAAGTACGGAACGCATATTTACATTTATCAGACGATCTTTTTAGTATTCCTGCCTCAAAAACAGAACAATAAAGAGCAGCGTTTTGTTCGTATAGGATACTGCCCTAAGTTTTTAAAGCCTAGAGCAGTACTTCTTTCTTTAGCTTTCAATGTAATTTTGCCACTAGTAGGGTCCCTAATACCCTGGGAATGGATAATTTAGGGAACAGATTTTTGAAAATTAAGCCTATTTGGCGCCTTTTATTTTTTTCCATTTAAGAATTCTTTATAGTGCTATGTTTAAAGCGCCTTACTTTTTTTGATTGCCAAAATACCGGATCATTTTTCAGAACTTTGAATCGGGTGAACAATCTACTTTTTGAAAGTTTTTCATCTAGCCTAAACGTAGGCTCGCGTTTTCCAATCGATTAACTCTGAAGAGAAACGCTTTTTCTTTTGTCGAAATCAGATCTTATTCTGGCGCGCTTCTCTAGCTCAGGTGTCTAATCCACATTTTATTTCCCCTCTGATGGAGGCGAGAAGGGGCACTTTTCACCTGAATTGAAAAAAATCAAAAATTTTATTCAATTTTTTTCTTCTTCTAAGTCCTTGAAAGAGTTGTGGATAAGTCTGTGGATTCCATTTTGTCCCATGATATCCCATTGACTCCCTTTTAATCCCATGATATCCCATAAATAAGCTGTTTTTCAGGTGTCGAAGATCAATTTTCTCCCTCTTTTGACAGTTGTGGACGGACAAAATGGGGGGTTTTAGCTCTGCTTTTTCAAGGTGAAAAGGTAGGTTTGTGTTGGTTTTGTCGAGAGGTTTAAAGGCGTTTATGGCTTTGTTTTTGTCTACCTATCTTAACAAGGTTGACAAAAAAGGACGGACTTCAGTGCCGGCCCCATTTCGTGCAACCCTTGC